GATCGGACATTGTTTTGTTCTGCTGTGCATGGGGTCGCTATGTGTCAGTTCTGACTCGATGGCACCTGACAACAACAACAACAAGTAATTGTTGTTCCTCTTTTAGGTGTTCTGTTTATCACATGTTAATTTGAATGTCATGTGTGCATGATATTAGGTAAAATTTTTATTAGAATTGGAGGTAAATAAGCAATTAATAGACTCTGACTGACAGTACTAAGAGTATTCTACCAAAGCATTTGACATGATGGTGTTTATTTTGCATAAACATTCAGTCTTCAAAGTTTGACTTCATTGTCTAGTCCACATTGTCTGATAGCTAGTGACTCTAGATTTATTAGATCCTTAAGAGGAAAAGATTCTGGGTCACTTCAAATAATTTTCTTGTGCGTATGTATGTAAAAATGACATGGGTGCATATGACCTTTTCTAAGTTCATAAAGTGGACATGGAGAATCACCATCAACATCAACCCCAAATAGAATCCTGTGAGTTGAGGTCAAACAACCTTTTTACCAGTTCTGACCCTAGTCATTCCTCCCATAACACTTCTTTTCTGGGTTCTATAATTTGTTTCAATGGCCACATCAAACTCAACCGTACTCATGAGGAAGTAACAGGTTACAATTCAGGATTAAGAACGACTTGTCTTTGTTGTTGTTAAGTACATTGGAGTCGGTTCAGACTCATAGCCAACCCTGTATAGGGTTTCCGAGAAGCAGCTGGTGGGTTTGAACTTCCGATTTTGCAGTTAGCAGTCAAGTCCTTATTCTTTAGTGCCAAAACAGGATTCCTTAGGATATGGGTTTTCAATTAGGACAGCTTCTCAGTTGTGCCTGGACAGGTTTCTCTCTGGCCTTTGGCCTCTTTCTTGTCCTTGCCTCAGTCTTGTTTTTACAAGTACTACAAAGCTCTTTGATTGGTTGGTTGGTTCTGGCTGTGGAGTCAATTCCGACTCATAATGACCCTGTATAGGGTTTTCAAGGCTGTAAATCTTTATGGGAGCAGAAAGCCTCATCTTTCTCTCGTGGAATGGATAATTTCAAACTGCTGACCTTGAAGTTAACAGCCTAACTCGTAACCACAAAGCTCTTTAGGTCTGCCAATAATTACTTGGGAGCACTCTACTCTCCCAGGAAGCCTCCTGCCTTAAGGCATTCAGCTCTTGCTTTGTGGGTTAGCAAGCCTAGCTCTGCCAGTAGCTGTCTGGAGACACCACGCTCCTTCAGGAAGCTTCTTGTCCATGAGTTTGTGAGCCCACTATATGCACCTTGCACCTTGGGCCAGGCAGCCCACTGTGCACTCTTGTGCCATTTTCCTGAATTTGCTGCCATTATTTCTCTGCCTCTATATTGCCATCTTATGCTGTCTCTGGTGTTGCATCTCTTTCTGTTTCTAGCATTTAAGATATCCTCAATGTTGGGATCCTGGGTCCAAAGGTATCGCTCCACTTCTAGATCTTCTTTCTTGATGGTAATGAGATTCTCCCTTTTTTGCCACTCAGATAGCTGATTTTAAGCCTAGTGGCATGGCAAAACTGACCAACCCCATTGCTAGGGTCCCAAATACCTTATTTTCATGGTTCTAAGTTCACTAGGGAGCTATGTACCTTATTTGCATTACTAGCAAGCTGTCCAATTCCCATGACAGGTCATAGCACATTATTTGCCTAGTCTTAGTCTTGGGGTGTTACAAGACCAGACATAGCTAAAAGGTTGATATTAAATGATTTACGTACTCTGTAAAGAAAACCACAAAGTAGAAGAAGAGGTACATTAGATTTAGAAACTTAAGAGTTACAGATTTAATATTTCTTGTAGTGGTAGTGAACTGGAAATGTAGAAAAAAAATCTGTGGTATACTATAAAGAAAAACACTAGAGCTCGGTTCAATAAATCAGGGTATACAGAATTGAATAAACTTGCATGAAAGTTAGCATTAGAAAACCTAATGGCCCTCCAAACATTTGTTTTTATTTGGTATTGTTTCAGATATCGTCAGATCCTGGAAAAAGCTATTCAGCTATCTGGGGCAGAGCAACTTGAAGCTTTGAAAGCCTTTGTGGAAGCAAGTGAGTGAAGTAGAAATTCCATATTTGTTTTATATTACTTAGCTAAGAATGTAAAGCAATTTTGAAAAAAATATCAAATTATCAGTGTTAAAGAAACATTGATATTTATGTTGGAATAAAAACGGTTTTAAATTAGTTAATCTTGAGTCTATTTTCAGTGAATTATCTTTGAAGTTACATTCTAAATTGAAGTTTTATACAGTTATTGATTTGATAGCTGATGACAGGCAGTATAACATAATAGTGGTAAAGAAAATCATCCGTTTTATTAGCTGTGTGATCTTGTTGTTGTTAGGTGCTGTTGAGTCATTTCTGACTCATACCTAACCCTATACACAACAGAATGAAACACTTCCTGGTTGTTACGCTTGAGCCGATTGCTGCTGTCAACGGGCCAGTCCATCTCGTTGGGGGTCTTCCTCTTCTTTGACCCTTCACTTTACCACCCATGGTGTCCTTCTCCAGGGTTGGTCCCTCCTGACAACATGTCTGAAGTATGAGAGACAAAGTCTCGCCATCCTGGTTTCTAAGGAGCATTCTGTATGTACTTCTAACACAGATTTGTTTGTTCTTCTGGTAGTCCATGGTACTTTCAATATTCTTCTCTAACACCGTAACTCAAAAGCACCAATTCTTCTATGGTCTTCCTTATTCATTGTCCAACTTTGACATGCGTACATGACTATTAAAAATACCGTGACTTAGGTGAGATGCATCCTAGTCCTCAAACTGACATCCTTGCTCTTGAACACTTTAAAAAGCCTTCTTGCGACAGATTTGCCTAATGGAACATGCCGTTTGATATCTTGATTGCTGCTTCCCTGAGTGTTGAGAATGGATCCAAGCAAAATAAGGTCTTTGACAACTTCAGTCTTTTCCCCATTTATTATAATGTTATTTATTGGTGAGTATTTTTGGTTTGTTTACATTGAGATGCAACTCATAATGAAGGCTGTGTTCTTTGATCTTCACCAGCATTTTAAGTCCTCCTAACTTTCAACAAGCAAGGTTGTATCACCTGTATGTTGCAGGTTGTTAATAATAAATTTTCCTCCAGTCCCAATGTATCTTTGTATAATCCAGCTTCTCAGATTATTTGCTCAGCTTGAATAAGTATGGTGAAAGGATACACCCCTTGTGCATACATACCTTTCCTGATTTTAAACCATTCAGTGTTGCCTTCTTCTGTTTGAATGACTGCCTTTTGGTCTATGTGCAGGTTCCTCATGAGCATGATTAAGTGTTCTGTGATACTTATTTTCCACAGTGTTGTCCATAGCCTGTCTTGATCCACACAATTGAAAGCCTTTGCATAGTCAATAAAGTACAGATAAACATCTTTCTGGTATCCTCTGCTTTCAGCCAAGATCCATCTGATGTAAGCATTCTTACCTCTCATTCCACATCCTCATCTGAATCCTATTTGAACCTCTTTCATTCTCTGTCAATATACTGTTGCAGTCATTTTTAAATTATCTTTAGTAAAATTTTATTTGCATTAATGATAGTCTGATATTAATGGCATTATCCAATGATTTCTGCATTCCATTGGGTCTCCTTTCTTTGGAATGGGCACAAATAGGGATCTCTTCCAATCAGTTGGTCAGGTAGTTGTGTTCCAAATTTCTTGGCATAGATGAGTGGCTCCAGTGCTTCATCAGTTTGTTCAAAGATTTCAATTTGTATTCCCTCAGTTCCTGGGGCCCTGCTCTTTACCAATATCTTCAGTGTACCTGGATTTCTTCCTTCAGTATCATTGGCTCTTGTTCATATGATATCTCTTGAAATGGTTGAACATTGACCATTTCCTGTTTTTTTTTTTTTTTTGTTTACTCAATTTTTATTATAGATTAATAATTTTCAGCTTTGGGGTACAGTGGGACCATTTTCAAATGAAATTGTACATAAATAACTTTAAATATAATTAATAAATATATTTTATCAATAGTCAATTATTTGATAGTATCAAATTTACAATTATGGCAATACATTATAAACACCAAAAAAATTAAATTGCCAACTATAAAATCTTCATCTCATTAATAAATTTTATTTCCATATCTTATTTGGAATATGTGTTAGTAGAAAATCCTGATTCATGAGTCTAAGAAGTAATACAATAGACTTTTTTTTTTTTTTAAAGATTACTTCTGTATCATCAGGGTGTTCTTCAATTAAATCATTTCAGAAATTTAAAAGCAGAACAAAGTAGATCTTTCATCAGGAAATCTAAATAGTAAAATCACCCAAACAATACAATTGCACTACAATAATTATAACGATTATCTACTCTTAATAATTATGCTGGAGTCCTGGCATGGTACTGGACTGCTGACTTCAAGGTCAGTAATTCATATTCACCAGCTGCTCCTCCAAAAACATATACAGGGTCTCAATGTAAAGAAAGCAAAAATCTTCACCACTGGACCAATAAATACCATCTATATAAACAGAGAAAAGATTTGGTTTGAAGTCCTGGTATGGCACTGTAGGATAATCACTGGACTGCTAAACACAGGTCAGCAGTTCAAATCTACCAGCTGCTCCTCAGAAACTCTATAAAGGTTGCTATGAGTCAGAATGGACTTGACAGCAACAACAACATTAGTTTAAAGAAGAGTTTATGAGTTATTTTTGATTAAAGGTTTAAGATTTAAAGATGATGTCAGAGCAACAGTTTCAGGAGTTCATCCAACTTCTGTGGTTCCAGAAACTCTGAATTCCATTAGAATTTAAATTACGTTCATTTCCACCCTTTTGTTCAGAATTCCTCTATAGAAATTTTATTCAAAACTTTCAGTAATGGTAGCCAGACATCATCCAGTTCCCTCTTCTCATAGCCAAGTAGGTTGTTGTTATGAAGGCAAATGAGCATGCATTTAATTTTCTCCTCCCATTCTTGACTCTCCTGGTTTGCCACGGTATTGAAGCACTGGATTTCTAAGCACAAACTCAGAAGTTTGTACTCACTAGCTACTCCTCAGAAACCATTTACAGGGTCACTATGAGTCAGAACTAACTCAGTGATACTTAAAAACAATATTCTTAACTCTTATTCTTTCTATGTTGTTCCAGGTGAATTAAGACCAGTTGTTGCTCCTTGGGTGGCTGGCTGCTTGCAAGTTTTTTTCTTTAAGTTTTTATTGTGGATTGAGTGAAAATTTACAGGGCATATTATCAGTTTTACATTCAACAAATCATACAACTTGTTTCATCATAATTATTACATTCCCCTCCATGTACCATCAGTTAACAGAATTTCTCTCTATTCCCTTTAGCTCTTTTTTTTAAAAAACAAAACAAAACAAAAAACAAACACTCAGGCATCTATAATAATTTACACCACCAAAGGGCACATTCTGCAAGTCTGCCTAATGGCCACCAGCTCTTAGTGCCTCTCTTCCCATGAATCTACAGTCCTCAGCTGCTCCCTCTCTCCATGTCCCCATCTCTGCCTCCATCTCTGGTGTCACGGCTTCTCTGGATAAGGTCTTGCATTCCGCTTGTGTTCTTCTTCCTTGATAGTCCTAGGATCCTTTGTTTCTGGACTGTAAGATTAACTGCTCACCCATTTTTGTTAAAAAATTTCTACCTTTACAATTATGACAGTTGCAATTAGTCTTGATAACAATTACTACAGAATCGTAAGAATCTTATCCCCATCTCTTTTATCCAGACCCATCTAAACAAGATGACAAATATTCAGTGGGGACTCTTTCTTCCCCCTCACACTCTTAAATTAAAATCCCTCTTGAGACCTTGTAAGCTGAGCTCTTTTACCTTCACATTTCTTTCAATTTCTTTAGCATCTCTACACAGGTGTTCTGGTAGTGTAGTGGTTACGAAACGGGATGCGAACCGCAAGGTCAGAAGTTCGAAACTACCAGCTGTTCCGTGGGAGAAAGATGAGGCATTCTGCTCCCGTAAAGATTTAAAGCCTCAGAAACCCTGTACAGGGTCGCTGTGAGTCGGAACTGACTCCACGGCACATAACAACAACAACAACAACACTGGATAGCAAGTTTCAGAGTCTTCTGACATCCATTTTGTTCTTTTCCTTCTTTCTTGTCTTCTTAATGACCTTTTGTTTTCTTCCTATATGATGTTCTTGATGACAACTCTTCTGGTATTTGGTCATTAGTGTCTTATGCATCTAATCTGTTCTTGAGATGATTTCTAAATTTAGGTGGGATATGTTCAAAATCATATTTTGGTTCTTGAGGACTTGTTTTAATTTTATTCAGTTTCAGCTTGAACTTGCCTATGAGCAATTGATGGTCTGTTCTACAGTATTCCCCTTGCCTTGTTTTGGCTGATAATATGGAGCTTTTCCATAATCTTTCTGCATAGATATAATCAGTTTGATTTCTGTGTATCTCATTTGGTGAGGTCCATGTGTGTAGTTGTCTTTTATGTTGTTTAAAAAGGTGTTTGCAATGAAGAAGTCATTGATCTTAAAAAATTCTATCATGCAATCTCCATGATGTCTATCCCAGCTTCCTCTTTGTTTCCAACTTTTGCATTCCAATCAGTAATTATCAATACATATTGATTGTATGTTTGATCAATTTTAGACTAAAGAAATTGTTATAATTCTTCAACAATTTTATCATCACTGGCTTTAGTCGTTGGTGTATAAGTTTGAATACTGGTACTAACTTGCCTTCTTTTTATAAACTTGTGCATATTATCTGGTCACAGACAGCATTATGTTTCAGGATAAATCTTGAAATGTTCTTTTTGGTATTGATTGGAATACCATTCATCTTCATTTGTCATTCCTAGCATAATATACCATGTGATTGTCAGATTAAAAAATGGCCAGTACCAATTTATTTCTTCTCCCTATGCCTAGGATATTGATATTTCATTTTTGACAGCTTTCAATTTTCCTATATTCCATATCCCTATTATTTATGGATGTTTACCGCTGTTCCTCTGCATTTTGAATTATGTCCTGCAAATTTAGGTCCCAAACATATTACTCCATTCGTGTCATCATGGTTAACTGTATTTTGAGGAAGCATTTCTTCCCCAGTCATATTTTGAGTTTCTTCCAACTTGAGCACATCCAGAAGTTGTGTACCTCTCCGTCTTCCTAGGTTGTCTTAGTCAGGAAGGTCAGCTGCAATCTGTTCACCATGGGTGACCCTGCTTGTGTTTAAAATACCAGAGGCATATCTTCCAGCATCACAGCAACACGGAAGCCACCACAATTTGACAAACAAAGCTGTAGTCTCAGGGAAGTTAATTAACCTCTTTGTGCCTTCTTTTACTCATATATAAAATGAGAATATGGTCCCTTTCCTATAGGATTGTTGCTGAATTAAATGAGTTAATATGCATACTAAAGTACTTAGAATAGTATCTGGCAAACAAGTAAGTACTATACAAGTGTTACCTGTTATTCATCTTAAGACATTCTTTTTTAATTGGGAACTATAAAATTACAAAGGAGTCCTTGTGGCACTGAAGGTTGTTAGTGGGAATCTGCCAGCTGCTATGTGGAAGAAAAGACTTGACAACCTGCTCCCATAAAGATCACAGTTTAGGAAACCCTGTGGAGCAGTGCTACTCTTGTCATATACGTAAGAATCAGCTCAGTGGTACCCAAGATCAGCAGCAGAAATGTCCATTCTTGTAGACACTGTCCCTTCCCCTCCAATATACAGTTATATTGAAAATCATTCAATATTCAGGCTGAATTTTGTACTGTGTTTTTAATATAATGACATTTGTTGGTGCTTTATAGTTTATAGAGTGCTTTCACACCTATTATTCATCACATTTGCTCCTGGTAGTGTAGTGGTTACGAATCGGGCTGTGAACCTTAAGGTCAGCGGTTCGAAACTACCAGCCGAGAAAGATGAGGCTTTCTGCTCCCGTAAAGATTTACACCCTCGGAAACCCTGTACAGGGTCGCTATGGGTCGGAACTGACTCGATGGCACTTAACAACAACAACAACAATGAGTAGACAGTGCAGATATGCATATCTTTGCATAATACGTTGTAAAGTGAGTCTTAGAGTATTAAATTACCTTCTTTCAAGGATATTCAGCTAGTCAGGTACTGAGCTCAGCCTAATAACTAGAGTTCCTGACATGTGCTTATATTTTTCTGTGACATAAGTTTGTTTAATAATTTACTTCCAACAGTTTTAAGTGCTGAATGGAACTTGCCATGGCATGGTTTTCTCAGTCACATTCAGTATTATCCAATATTGAATTCCAAGTAATAGATTATCAACTGATTATTTACAAGAACTATAAGTTACTTCAAAAAATTAGAGCCTGCAATGTGAGAAAAACTGGTAATGCTTTCAGAAGAATTGTTAGAAATGGTATACTGTCATAGCAAAAGAATAATGCATTTTATAAATTTTGAATCCACTGAATCTCCAAGAAGAGCAGTCTGCTGCTAAAATAATTAAATCACTGAACTAGTTTTTTTTTTAATGTTTTATTGTGAATTTTATGATCATTTACATGAGAGAACTTTAGTTTTACATTCATTCTATCGTATATCATTTCATTGCCATGGTTTCAGTCCCCTCTATGCATCATCAACCAACCAACCAAAGGGTATATCCTACAAACCTGCCTCCTACACTCCCCCCAGTCTTCAGCACACAGTCCCTCTCCCTCTCTGGATCCAAAGTCCCCAGCTGCTTCATCACTCCACGTCATCGTCTCTGCCTCTATCTCGGGCCTCGCTGCTTCTCTGGGTAGGGTCCCGCTCTCGGCTCTTTTCCGCTGAACTAGTTTTTGAGCCATTATTTATTCTACCAATAGTTGCTGACTTAAGACTTAAAATAATTTAGCTAAGCCGTGGTTCACAAGCATATGATGCATTTAAAAACTGTAATGGTGATGATGATAATGATATTTGTGAGGACTGCAGTGTCAGTTTGAAATGCAGGGTCTGTGATTGAAGCTCATCAGTGGCTCCTTGCAAACCTGTACAGGGTTGCTCTGAGTTGGGATCGTTTCAGTAGCACTTAACAACAACAGCATATATCAGGTGGGGTTCTGGTGTGGGACTGTACGGTAAGCACTCAACCATAGGTCGGTTTGAACCACAAGCTCTGCGGTTCAGACTTACTAGCTGCTCCTTGGAAACCCTGTACAGGGTCACTGAGTTAGAATCAACTCAACAACACTTAACAACAACAACAATATACCAAGTACTCTTTAAACTGTTTTATGTGTATATTGCATTTAAGCCTCACAACAGTTGGGTAAGAGCTCCATTTTCAGGCTAGGCAACAGACGCACAGAGAAGTTAAGTTTCTTGTCTGAGTTCATGTCACTGAAGTGATGAAAGAGTGTGGCTCTAGACCTAACATCCTTAATTGCTATACGGTGGTGGTGGTGGTGTACTGTGGAATCAGTTCCGACTCATAGCAACCCTACATAGGGTGTTTAAGGCTGTAAATCTTTACGGGAGCAGAAAGCCTCATGTTTTTCCTGTGCAGTAACTGGTAGATTCGAACTGTTGAATGTATGGTAAGCAGTCCAGCTCATAATCCACTGTAAAAACCATGTGGGAGCCATGTCTGACTTCCCCTGGCTTCAAAAGGAGGAAAGAGAATCAAACTCAAAATTAGCTTGTGGCCGATTCTTATGAAGCGGAGGTCAGATATGCTTCTACTCTACAACCTTCTTTACCCAATTCTGACACCAACTATCCCTCTCACAGCACTCTGCTTCACATCTGGGTTTGATGAATCCATTGCAATGGTCACACAAAACTCAACAATACTCGCAATTATGAGGTTTATTAGGAAAGTGAATGGGGTACAATTCAGGATCAAAACCAACTCAGGACACAGCAGTTCTCCAGTCAGGAACACATCTTGTCTGCCATACTGCAGGCTAGCCTCACTCTTGTCTTCGGTCTCTTAGCCACATGGCCCTTTGGCCTTAGCCTCCGTCCGTGGACCTAGAGCCTGTAGCTGCTCTGTTTTTCCATGCCATGCCACCTCTGCTATCGCCTCTGCTGTTGCTGTTTTTCTTGGTAGGGATCTCATGCTTCATTCATGCTCTGCCTTCTTGAAGATCTTGTGCTCTCTATCCCTGCTTTTGAGATGAATCCTTTTAAATGTAGCTGGATGGCAAATCTAACCAATCCCAGTCTTAGAGTCCTGTGTACCTTATTTGCATGGTCTCACCTAATTACTTGGTGAGAATTAAGAAGACTTTGGATGGAATAGCCAGATCAAGTAAACTCACAGTACCACAGTAATGTATGGTAGAAGTGGTGTGCCATCAAGTCTGTTCTGATAGTGACCCTTTATAGGGTTTCTGAGTCTGCAGATCTTTACAGGAACAGAAATTCTCTTCTTTCTCCCTCAGAGTGACTGGTAGAGTCAAACTACTGACCCTGTGATTAGCAGCTTAGCTCATAATCCACTTTGCTATCAGGGCTCCTTAATAAAGTATGTTAAATGTAAATGGTGGTGGTGATGTGCTATGGAGTCAGTTCTGACTCATATTGATCCTGTATGGGGTTTCTAAGGCTATAAATCTTTGTGGGAGCAGAAAGCCTCATCTTTCTTCTGTGGAACAGCTGGTAGTTTCGAACTGCTGACCATGACGGTAGCAGCCTTACTCGTAACCTGAGTCCTTTAAATGTACATAGTATATTAGATAGTATCATAAAATGCATATAAATGTATATACATATAAAAAATTTCACTACATCTAGTGCATACTGGAGTTCTTATTTGTTATTTTCATTGGGAAGGTGTAAGTGACAGTAACCAACAAATTTTAAATTGCTGTGTTTAAATTTTGTGAGAATTATTTTACTGTGTACTTCTTCAACTTTTTTTGTTGTGAGGAGTGAAGTAAGTACACAATAGAAATTAGGTGTTTCTGTTTGTGCACATTGTAGAAAAATAAAGATGAGAATATAAAAGTATGAAATTCTCAATTGTTTTAACACAACTTTTTTTCAGCCATTTGTGTTTCTTAGAAAAGTTGTGATGTTTTTAATGTTTAAGTTGTTAAGTGCTGTCGAGTCAGTTCTGACTCAGAGTGACCCTGCACAGGGTTTCCAAGGAGTGGATGGTGGGTTTGAACCACTCTCCTTTTGGTTAACAGTCCAGTGCTTATCCCACAGTGCTACATGATCAAATCACTCAGCCTAAGGAAAACTTGATTCTGTAATAGAAAGTCAGGGGTATGGACATCCTTGAATAATGCATTGAAACAAGGTTACATTAATATGCTTTTATGTATATTAATTTTTATTATTAATTTTAGTTAAAGATTGAATACATAATGGAAATTGATGTAGTGACTCACATTTTCTTGTCTCTCATTTTTTTTGACCAAGTGGTAAACGAGAATGTCAGCCTCGTGATCTCGCGACAGTTGCTGACTGACTTCTGCACGCATCTCCCTAACCTGCCTGACAGCACAGCCAAAGAAGTCTATCATTTCACCTTGGAAAAGATCCAGCCTAGAGTAATTTCATTTGAGGAGCAGGTAAAAAGAAGGGAACAAACAGTTCCAGTGTTATAAAACTTAGCGCGTTGGTATTTGAACTTGAGATAGCAGCAATTATTTATAGAGATGTTATTAAATTCTTAAAGGAAATAATCATCCAGTTTTATTTTAGACAGAATTATATGCTAGACAGCATTGTATCATGTAAGATAAAATAACTGTTAGTATGCTGCAGCTCCAGCTGACCATTGCTCATAGTTTGCAATATGAATTTATGAATAAACTATTACTTCTGAAACAATTTTGAAAAATGAGTACAACTGCTAACCAGACCTAAAACGTATGAAAACGCTAGTATTTATGTAATACTATAAAGACAAAATTTAATAGTTAACCTAAAATATTACCATAATGTACATTACACGTGATATTTCAGTTCATTCTTTTAATATTCTGTCATTGTAAAATTTGTATTAAAAGCTTTGGGTGGTGTCGGTAAGCTTTTACAATTTAATTGCTAGGTTACTATGTTGACTGAGCATTGTCACAGTAGTTATCCTTGTTAATTGTTATTAATTACTGTCAGTTGAAATAATTGGACATTTGTACATGCTGTTTCAGGTTGCTTCAATAAGACAGCATCTTGCATCCATATATGAGAAAGAAGAAGACTGGAGAAATGCAGCTCAAGTGTTGGTGGGAATCCCTTTGGAAACAGGACAAAAGTATAGTAAATAGTGGATATTGGATGGTTAAATAGAATTGTTTTTTTTTTATATTCTAGTGGAGAAACCAGATACTAGACAGTGGATTTAATACATAAGTAAACTTTGTACTATTAAAATGTTTTAAGTGCTATGGAGAAAAGAAAGTCAGTAATGGAGCCCAGTAAGAGGCAGGTTGTATGATGAATGGAATAGCTGGAGTGGTACTTACTGCTCTACTGCCATCGTCTTGTTGACATAAAAGAGGTAAGGAAAGTAGTCATGAAGCTATCTGAGGCAAGAGAATCAGAGCTAGAGGATGATGCAAAGGCCCTGGGATAGTGCAATTCCTGATACTTTAGAAGAAGAGCAAGAAATGGAATAAGCAAAGGGGAGAGAGGTAGGGGATGAGGTAGAGAAATGGGGACCAAATTGTGTAGGTCCTTGTATGACATTTTAAAAACTGCGTGTGGCTTTCTGTAAGTAAAATGAGGGAAAGCCATTGGAGAGTTTTGAACATACAAGTGACATGATCTCACTTGTTGTTAGGTGCCATCGAGTTTGTACGAACTCATAGCAACCCTATGCACAACAGAACGAGACACTGCCTGATTCTGGGCCAACCTCACAATTGTTGCCATGCTTGAGCCCATTGATGCTGCCACTTGGCCAGTCCATCTCCCTGGGGGTCTTCCTCTTTTTCTCTGACCCTCCATCTTAGCAAACATGATATCCTTCTCCAGCGACTGGTCCCTCCTGACATTATGTCTGAAGTATAAGAGATGAAGTTTGACCATCTTGGCCTCCAAGGAGCACTTCTTCTAGCAGCCCATGACACTTTCAATATTCTCCTCCAACACCATAACTCAAAAGCATCAATTCTTCTACAGTCTTCCTTATTCACTGTCCAGCTTTCACATGCATATGAGATTATTGAAAATACCATGGCTTGGGTCAGGTGCACTTTAGTCCTCAGTGGTATTAACTGGTCTTCCCTGTAGGAGCATGGATATTTTCCTATCACAGACAGCGTTGTACTTCATGACTGATCTGGATATGTTCTTTTTGACAATGAATGCAACACCATTTCCTCTTCAATTTGTCATCCCGGCATAGTAAACCATGTGGTCCTCAGATTCAAAATGGCCAATACCAGTCCATTTCAGCTCACTAATGCCTAAGAAATCGATGTTTATGCGTTCCATTTCATTTTTGACAACTTGCAATTTTCCCAGATTCGTATTTCATACATTCCATGTTCTGACTTTCAATGGATGTTTACAGCTGCTTCTCTCCATTTTGAGTTGTGCCCCATCAGCAAATGAAGGTTCCGTGGGCTTTACTCCCACGGGCTTTACTCCATTTGCGTCATCACAGTCAGCTCTACTCTGAGGAGGCAGCACTTCCCCAGTCACATTTTGAGTGCCTTCCAACCTGAGGAGCTCATTTTTCAGCACTATATCTGACAGTGTTTCTTGGCTGTTATAAGGTTTTCATTGACTAAGTATTCGAAAGTAGTTCATCACCCCTTCTTCCTAGTCTTTCTTCGTTTGGAAGCTTATCTGACACCTGTCCACCATGGGTGACCCTGCTGGTATTTAAAATACCAGTGGCATAGCTTTTAGAATGACAGCAACTCACAAGCCACCACAGTACGACAAACTGACAGACGAGTCGTGGTGATCTCATTTACACTTTATTTATTTTAAAGTTTTTATTGTGAATTCAGTGAAAGTTTATAGGGCAGATCATCAGTTTTCCATTCAACAAATCATATACTTTTATCACAATGATTATAATCCCCCTCCATGTACCATCAGTTAAAGGTATTTCTCTGTATTCATTTTAGCTCCGTTTTTGTTTTTTTGTTTTTTAAACACTCAGGCATATAGAATAATTTACACCACCAAGGGGCACATTCTGCAAGTGTGCCTCCTGGCTGCCAGCTCTCAGTCCCTGTCTTTCCATGAATCTACAGTCCTCAGCTGCTCCCTCTCTCCATGTCCCAGTCTCTGCTTCCATCTCTGGTGTTGCTGCTTCTCAGGATAAGGTCCCACATTCCACTTATGCTCTTCTCCATTGATGGTCCTAGGGTCATCTGGTTCTGTACTGTAAGATTAACTACTCCCCCGTTTTTGCTGGCTTATACTTTAAAGAGTCACTCTGACTACTGTGTTGAAATTAAACTGTAGGTAAGCCTTGGTTGCTGACTGAAAGGTTGATGATTTGAAGTCACCAACTGCTCCACAGGAGAAAAATGTGGCAGTCTACTTCTGAAAACCTAGTTGGGGTAGTTTTACTCTGTCCTATAGGATTGCTATAGATTGGAATTGATTCAAAGGCAATGAGTTTGGTTTTTGGTAAGCAATAATAGGAGTAAGGACATTAGTTATGACATTTATTTACAATGGTAAGTCTAAACATATTGCAACAAAAGTTTAGAAGCCTTTAATAACCAAAACTAATACAACTTGAAGCTATTGTTTTGCAACATAGCCTCTATCTAGGTCTGTATACTTCTGAAGGCAATGTTTCCATCTGTGTAATTTCCCCCCAAGGAGCTCTGGTGGCTTAGTGGCTTTCTCATTGGGCTGCTAACTGCATAGAGATTTGAATCCATCATTTGCTCCATGGAAGAAAGATGAGGTTCCTGAAGAGATTTACAACCTTGGAAGCCCTATGCAGAGGTGGAACTGACTTGATGAGACACAAACAATTATAGCAAACTTTCCCTCAAAGAATTCTGTGCTCTCTAATTAACATCACATTAAGATAGCCGTTTTGACATCCTTGAGGAACTCAAATTGTATTCCTTTTAAATGGTCTGTTGAGTTTGGGGAACAAAAAGGAGTCTGAAAGGGCAAGATCAAGGTTATAGGGTGGATGGGGCAAGATCTTCAAATGAAATGTTCATAGGGTTTGTGGCTACCCTTGAAGAATAAGCAGGTGCATTATCATGATAAAAAAAAATTTCTCATTCAACTTTTCTGGTATTCAGTTGTCTTAAAACTTCTTTCTAATAAGCCCCTGTGATTGTTCTTTGTCCTTCAAGAAAATCTATGAATATGATCGCAAAAAACAGTCATCATAACCTTCTAAGCTGACTTGTCTGCCTTTGATTTAACTGACCAGCAGATCCCTTTGGAAGCCACTGTTTTGATTGCACCTTGCTCTTTGTATCATGTTGATAAATCCAAGACTTGCCCCTGGTTATGATGTATTCCATACAGTCGAGTTCATTAGCTTTATTCTTACTTAAAAGATTGATGAGAGGATCAGCTCTTGGAACAAGCTGTTCTTCACGCAATACCAAACCATGTGAGACCCCAACTTCAGAAGCTATTGCATCAGTGGTAATTTTGCAGTCTTCTTCTGTCGGTTTCTGGACTCTAGCCACAGGTTGCTTCATTTTTTAAGGTTGACAGTCTTCCTTCTCTTGGCTCATTATTGAGGTCTTCCTGACCTTCCTGAAAACACTTGATCCATCTAAAAGCTTTGTTTTTAATGTGAGACAGCATTCCCGTAAACTTGTTACAAAACTTGAATGATTTGGAAAGATGTCCACTTGAGTTTTATTAATTTGATACTAGTCCTTACCTCAAAATTGTTGTTTTCCTTGGCACGGAAAGCATTCTTTTTGCAGACACTCTAATGAGACTAAGATAAGTATATTACCGAGACAGCTTATCTGCAGCCATCTACTGATTGCAGAATCACGTGTAAACACATTCTAGTTAGAATATACTCCTGAATGTATGAACTAGAATTCTCTTAGCAATATTTTTATTTTAATGTTTTATTGTGAATTATATGATAGTTTACATGGGAGAACTTTAGTTTTACATTCATTCCATTGTATATCATCTCATTGCCATGGTTCCAATCCCTTCCATGCATCATCAACCACCCAAAGGGTATATCCCAGAAACCCGCCCCGTACACTTCCCCCTCCTCCCCCCAGTTTTAGGCCCACAGTCCCTTTCCCTCTCTGGGTCCAAAGTCCCCAGCCGCCTCATCACTCCATGTCATCATCTCTGTCTCTATCTCAGGCATCTCTGTTTCTCTGGGTAGGGTCCCGCTCTTGGCTCTTCTCCGTTGATGGTCCCAGAGGCCTCTGCTCCTATCCTGGAGAATTAATCACTCCCTTCCTTGTTACAAAACTTCTACCTTTGCATTTCCAACCCTCATAGTTCGTCCTGATAAGCATTATTCACTACAGCATCACAAGTTACCCATCTGTATCTCCTTTCATCAGCTCCGCCCAGACAGATTGAATAGTACCTACTGGAGAGTCTTAGCAATACTTTTTGACTTCCTTTCATACTATTGCTGATGAAAGTGCTAACAGTGGAGGTTGTGAGAAATGCTGGATTCAGGATTTGTTGTGAAGGTTTAAGGAATTCCTGATAATTGGATGTTGGAATATGAGAAAATGAGCTAAGCCCTGAATTTTGGGTCTGAACAGCTGTAAAGATGGAATTGTCACATACTGAGTGGGGAAGAACAATTTTGGGGCAAGATTTAAAGCTCAGTTTTGGATGTGTTATAACTTACGTGGTGCCATCCAGTAAGTTGAGCACATTAGTTTGGAGTTGAGGAAAGAGAACTGGGCTGGAGATACACATCTGTAAATCAATGATGCATAGATAGAATTTAGAGTTTTTTAGATTGGACAAGATCAGTAAGGAGACAATGAGTACCAAGGCATGGAACACTGCAACATTAAGAGGTCAGGAGAAACTAGCAGGAAACTGAGAAGGGTTCAATGAGGTAAGAGGAAAATGAGGAGTATGGTGATATCGATGTCAAAAGAGGAAAGTAGATCAAGAAGTGAGTGATCAGCTATCATGTTGATAGGTCAAGTAAGATGAATAAGAATGAGCCATCAGAATTATTCATGTTGAGGTCCTTGATGATCTTGACAGGAGTCAAGTGAAGTGATAGGAATGAAACCCTGGTTGGAGTGGATTGAAGAGATGGGAAGAGAAGAATTGGAGACAGTTAATATGGCCACCTTTGTG